AGTAATCGCTGTTTTTTAACCAGGCATTTTGCTTCCTGCCATTCAAGTCCAATTTTACTACGTGATGCCTGTGTGTTCAGGTTACTGAATTGGGATAAGCTGTACGCGATGTTATTTCGTCGTGCCTTGTAAAGTTACCATCTACATAATTCGATATGCTTGAATGCCAACATGTTTTCTTAACTGTACAGGTACATCTCTATTTTTTACTATCTGGAAGAAGGAAGGTGAAACAGCTTTTCCTGTAGCAGATATGAAAAATTTCAATGAAACAGTGAATGCAGCCTGTCATAATTGTCAAAACATCAACTGATGTACAAATACTTATTCTGTAGCTACTTGCACGTACACACACACACACACACACACACACACAAAAGAAAAATGAAAGGAAGAATGCAGATGCAATGAATAGATGAGAACATTATCGACAACATCGCCATACTTGCTTACGGTTCGTGCACTCGATAACATGGAATTTACTCGTTAAATGGCCAACATAATTAATGAAATGTTTCCCAACCGTGTAAAATGACTAAAATAAGTAAACGTGCTTTTATCTCCTAGGAATTTAGGGACCGTACAAAGATGGCGATCGCTTCAATTTGAACGAGTATTGTCATACAGCTAATATCGTTGTACCAGTCAAGAAAGGAAAAGTTATCATGTGGTATAAATATGAACTTGATGAAAAAACTGGCTGGATGAACCACAGAGACGATAGATCATTACATGGGGATGCATCAGGATTAGAGGCATCAAATACATAGCCAATAACTGGCTCCCAGCCCCCGAGAATGACTCTGCTCATTTTATCAGTGAATATTTTTGAGACCCGGATGAGGAACAAGACATTAGAGGCTTGTTCATGTGGTTTTATTTCCAATGTGATGTATTTTTAAAATACTAGGTGCTTATTTTCGTAAATTTCTTTACAAAATACCTTGAATGATTCTCGACATACCAGAATTGAAGAAGGAAATTATTTTATGCCGGCATTTTATACATGTTGTAGTATTCCGCCGGGCGCAGGTGGAAAAATATTACGTGTCATAAGTACGATTGACCAGCAGTAAGGGTATTTATGTAGTCTTTATTAGTTGCACAACAACATATACCTGCAAACAAACGTGCAAGGTTTACAAAAATTCATCACTAAAGAGAAAACTAGTTGTAATCTAAATAAAATTAAAAAGACATCTGTTATAAAAGTTCGCTTAAAACGTTCCGTACGAATACGAGGTAAAATGTAGTTATGGCCGCGAGAACGGAGCGACCTTCTCCTCTGCATGGGAAGTAGGTCACGTAAACAATGATCGCAGTCTTTCGTGATCTGTTCCCGTAATAATTTATCTCTGGCACGAAGAATATCTTTAATGGATGTAAAATACAATAAATAACCATATTTGTGGGCACGTTCACAGAACTTATCGATTGGGCTAAGGTATTTACATTCTAATGCGCTTCCCCAAACTTCAATTGCATACAAAAATAATGACATAATTAAGCTATTGAAAAGAGCCGTCAATTCCTCCTGCGAATTACCATAAAATTTACAAACCCTTATTATGTACAGCCTAGAACTGGCTTTATGTAGCAGGAGATCAAACCAGCTATGATAACACTTGATCATAGCCATAGTGATGTTTTGACCTTTTTTTTTTATTACCATACTGACCAGTCCCGGTTGATGTCTTAGTGACAGTTGTCAGCTCTTTTTTATATACGAGTCTTTCAAAGAGTCTCGTGATTATTTTAATTAACGATGTGGGTCTGAACTGATTGCAAGAACTTATGATCGACTCTTTACGAGTTGGTGAAACATTTGCTAATTTCCATGGTAGAGGAACTACTTGCTGCTAAAGGGAGCAGTCAAAAATCCTTGTTATTACAGGAGCAAGATGGTGAGCATAACCACGCCAGAACCAATAAGGAAAACCATCAGGGCCGGGTGAAGTTTGCTTTAGTTGAGTAAGATATATTTTAACTGAACATTCATCCAGTGCAGGGACCTCGGTGCCTTCAGGAATCCCCAAGGGCTCTGAGGTCGGGTACTAATTAAGAGTATTAATACGCTGGAAATATGCATTAATTTCTTTAGGGGAAATAAGCATGCTAATTGGAAGAGCAGACTGAGGATTTCTGCCAGTGATTTTTTTGACAGTATCCCACCATGACTTTGATCCTTTAACATGTCTCTTATCTTCACAATTAACAGCGTTTATAATATTTTTCCGAATGAGACTATTGATTCTTTCCTGGAGCGCGTTAGTTTCAATAAAAATCAGTTAAGTCCAGTTGATCTACATCGCCAGCAATAATGAACTTAGCATTTGGATCACACCACAAGGCACGATCACAAGAATCGGACATAAATTCATTAACTCGTTTGCGTTATAGATAGGATGGGGGGGGAGGGGGGGTGGTAAACTGATGCAATGTAGAACTCAGAGTTACGTGTTGTCATCTTGCATCATCAAACTCCTCAGGTTTGTCGATGACATTGATTTGCCAGTCGTTTCTGTAGATAACTTCAACCCCTCCACCAATTCTCGATCCACCACGATCCTTCCTGATCATCAAATAACCTTCCGGGCAGACCTTTGGAGGTAGGAACATTCTTGTGCAGCCAGGTTTCAGAAACGAAACAAATATCAATCCTGTTGGAAGTTAGTTCAGCGTAAAGAGCCGAGACTGCGTCTGGTTTCACGAGCGAGCGGGCATTAATCACAAGAAATTTTGGAACAATTCTTGGTGTCGAGGAAGATTTACTTATATTCACGGAAGTCAGCGTTCAGAGCAGTTTTTTCGTTTGCGTTGTTTTCCTTGTTGGTCTTATCGATCGGCGAGAGTGGACAATGCGAATATTCAAAACACAGTCACCGGTCCCGAATATCCCAGAAAGATAGTTTCTGCGACGCTCTCTTGAACCACAGCTTGTGGAAATTCCAAATGCTTCAAGATGTAGGGCAGATTCCGGGCTAACTGGGCAAAAATTTTTTAAGAAAGTAAAGTCTTGATTTCGAATAAATAAGCCGAGGTGAAGTGTTTACCGATCGAACTTGCATAATTAGATCCCGAAGAGTGATCAGTTTGAGTTTTGCTGGCTTAAACAATAGGTCCTGGATTCAAGGAAATATCACAAAGTATAGTTAAATCCATCACAAAAAGGCTTGCAGGCAGTGATAGACATATAGCTCCGCGTTTCGCGCATTTGAGCATCGATTGAGATATGCAAATGCTGGAGTTTAAATTCTGTTATTATTAATGATTCACAACTTAAACACGCTCCACATCGTTTTTCAACCTGAAATTCAACAACAGTAGGTTATCTTCGATCAACCGCGTTTCAAAACAAAGTTATAAATTGATCTATCCGAGAAGTGCCATTGATTCAGAGGCCCGTCCGCTCCTTCTCCGTGTCTGAATAAGGCGCGAAGTCTTTGCCCCCATTTCACTTTTTACATGCTAGAAATGAAGAAATCTGTGCAAATTTAAAGCAATGTTTCGAAAATTCATTTTGTCGGAAATGCGGTAATAATTCTTTGCTCTGACTTGTCGTAGATCACGGTCACAAAAAAACATAGTGCTCCATTCCTTCCATGTGCACCAACTGGCCATGAAAATTTCTTTCGTAAAACAATCCTGTTCTCATCAGATCTATGAGGCGTTGCAACATCTGGATTAAGAAAGGTTTCTTCAACCATTTTCCAAACAGTAGTTTCGCAAGTCGAAAGGAAACAGCTTTTCCCCTGTTTTCCTGGGTACATGTGATTTGCTCTGATATGTTCCTTCACATTATTAAGCGTACATGTGATATCGTGCATCCAGCTCCTGGTTGTTGATGTCATTTCGCTACAGAGTTCTCCAAAACTCTTAATATGTTTACGACTACCTCATTTATTCCAGGCTATAACGGCGATCGGCGAAGGCGAAATGTTTTAGAAACTTCTTCAAAAAATGCAGCTTGAGCTAGGTAAAATAAAGCTTTCATCGAAGTATTAAATTACAGCATACTTCCACGAGGGAACCTCGCGTATTCATAAGAAGAGTTCTATACAGCTATGAAATTGGGTATCAGTCGCGTATAGCGAAAAATTATGATTGAACACGACGTACCATTGAATTTTGGTCTTCCACGTTGCCATCCAAGAGAGTACTTCGTAATCTATCGATCACACAACCGCTGTCTTCAAGGTCGTGCCAATAAAAAGGACTAAAAAAAATAAGAGATTATGAAAAGAGTTGAATGTGCACTTGCCTGATTTGCGCTTTGAGTTAGCCAATTAGAATGCTCAACGTCAGTCACTAGTTAACAATTGGTTCATAGGCGTGACCGAGAGCAACTCTAGCTTCTTGAGTACTCTCCAAACTTCCCATGAACTGAGCTGAGTTATGAACCAATTGTTTTATAACATTTTCAACCCGATGGTTTAAATGTTGTAAAAGGGTTAATATTCCTTCTGCTACGCTTCAGCGCGTAGATAATTTTGTTTCAGGAAAACATTTTGCTACGCTGTAAACGATCTTGTCTTAGATTGATCAAAAAACTGACAGGTGAATTCATGCGTGTAAATGAACTTTACTATTGAATACAAAATTCTCTTTTGAAAAAAAGGTGCTGTTTCATTGGCCAATTTACAACAGGCCACATCTTAGCTTCGTGTGAGAGAAAATTCGACTTACAAACAAATCTAAGAAGGCATCGCAAGGTTCCTAAACATTTTCTCGCTATCGACACCAAAGAATATTTCAAACATACTTTTATGGTATAAATATTTGAAACCATTTAAGCTGAAAAACATGCTAGAGTCAAGTCAATGTCCGTTGCTGGAATCTGAACCAAAGTTGATGTGGACATGTGCTTGTTGTATCGTGCAGCTGTTGAAGAGCGAGCCAAGATAGCTGCTTGATGTTGTTGCCGCTGTCATCTCGATCTTTTCTTGAATTTGAGTGCGGGTGTTAATGGCGGTGCCAGAAGAATGAGCGCTTTCGGCTGTTAGACTACTTGACAAAACTTCACTGCAGTGTTGTAGTTGTGAAGTGGAAGGCTGCGTGTTGTAGTGCGCCAGACTCTGCTCACTACGGTGACCAGATATTGCCATAATGTGGCGATTTTGGATTCCGGCATTTGACCACGAGGTAATCGCAGTGGCCCTAACGCTGTGGTTGGTGTACATTTTCGACAGTTTTGCAGCCTCACTGATGCTTTTCATCATGTTGTCGAGCTTGTTTACACCGATCGGTCGAGCATCGTATCAGACGTCATCATCGTAATTCCACTGCTTCTTTGGGTATTGAAAAAATGCATCGCTTTTAGGATTCAACTTCGAGATATACAGCTGCATGGCTTTGTTACCGTCGTCCATCAGAGGTTTCGTACATCCGTGCCAATTTTTCATTGCTTGGGACATCGCTTACACCTCCTGGATGATTTTTAGTTACCTCATTATGCGCCATCGTGACGAACCTTCTTCCAGAGGCACCGCTTCAAATGTGAAACTCGATCTTTTGAGCTCCCTTTGCCCTTCTCTTCCTCTCCGACAAAAAAACAGGACAACATGAAACCACACATTTCGAAGCAAGGAAAGAGGGTTAGTGACTGCGATGGCTTGAGAAGCTTTAAGTTTCGCCAAATTTTCATTTTCAATCGCTGGCTTGTGCTTTACATTTTCTTTTCCTTGGCGCCTCAAGCTGATTATCTGGGCGTTCAGCATCTCATTTCATCTTTTGAAACGAGGGTCTGAGCTCAAAGGAGGCGCATTGAGGTACCTTTCGAAGGAATGCCGGAAACCAAGAAGAGTGGATTTACTGTACGGTTCACCAGATTTGTTTCTTGCTTCGGCATAAAATCTTTATAAGTTTGTGTCTAGTTGTCCCACAGTCATTTTCTCGACTGCTGTTTCAATTTTTTTCTCGTTTCACCAAGCTTGAATAAAGACAAAAACATTGCGGGTTAAATTTTTAAAATATGCACATATATTTTCTTATACAATACATTCTATTTTTAAAATTACATCAGTCGAGAACCGTGACAGTTAAGTATCAGTTTCGAGCCGCTCCTTTGAAATGTTTAAATCATAGCAACTGAAAAAAGAATAAAATATTCTTAAAAACATTTGAGATAGAAGTATTTACCTTTGAATGTTCCAACGGACCAGTTTGTTATTTGGTTGGTTCTTTCAGAGTGTCTCTCTGCCAAGATATTTTCCAACCCGGACTCACTAGAGTTGCGAAACGGGATGACGGCCGTGCTTGTTCTTTGTTTTCTTTTATTTTTCGTTCTTTTTGGGGAGTTAAAAACTCCATTCTCAAGGAAAAAGTAGGCAGTTCTTCCCCATCAGCTTGCTCACAATTTTCCATGTTTGGCGTAAATTGCCACTGAAGTCTTAACCAGTTAAAATCTCAAAGTAAAAAAATCGCGGAGAAATATTTTTTCTTGAGGGATTAGTTTGCTGACGTCATGAACGTGCACAATAGGAATATGAAGCACGCTCGCGCAATTGAATTTACTAGCTATGTTATAAGGTCTCTTCACCGCGAAACAGACAACACCGGTGCCAACAGTTGAAACAATAGAAATAGAATGGGTTAGGCTGGCACACAGACGACGACCCCCCTTAAACAAAAGAGAGCACTTCATTGCCTGCCGAGCAATATTAACGAAACTCGTCTAAAAAGATCTATTATGGCGTCTGTTCCCCTCGTGGGAACTTTAGATTCAAATGACGATGTAGACCAGTTAGATGACGAAAGCGATAGCGAATAAGCAGAGAAGGTAAGTTGCCATTAGGCCTACGACCTCTTAATGTGAAATAATGTTCGAGAGTGATTAATTTGGTTTGTAGTCTGCTAGGAAAAGCAGCACTAAGAAGAAAGGAAGTTCGACTTAAGATGATGATTTTCATTTCATTTCCGGAGAGTGATTGTAGATCGCAATGAGGATCCGTGGAATCTGGATACAGCCATTAGATTCGTAAAACAAAAAACAAGAATGGGTGAGTTGATGACTTAATCATGAGAACCATGTGTGCTGTGTTCTCGTGTACAGCGTAATGCTGTATAAATGATATCTGAAATATGTCGTTTCATTTTCTGTCACAGTCATTTTGTGAACGATTGAATTGTTTCCCGTCCTATGTAATTTGTTGTAACTACAACTTGCTTTTTATCACAATTTGTGGTTCAACATGCGTACAGCGAACGCGTGCTGTGCTCTCGTGTTTAAGGTTATGGTGAATAAATAATAGCTGAAATACCAGTATGTCGATTCATTTGCTGCTGTGGTCATTTTGTGAAAGATTGAATTGTTTGCCGTCGTATAGTATTTGTTATCCCCAAAACTTGTTTTCATCGGAGCTAAAGTTGGGATATATTGTAAATCGCCACAATGGCGAGTGAAGTTTCGACCATGGGTACTGTATTAAAATGAGGGTCATGTCGATCAGTGTTAGACTAGAACACATCGAGCAGTTTCCCTTTAATTTTGTTTTTTCACGTGTCTCGCTAACTACAACAAATGCAGTGACTGAATTGCAATAATGATGAAAAGTGTTCACAATGTTTGTAATAATACTCCCGCAAATAGATGATGCTCACTGTATACCATATTTATGTGATGAGTTCTTTGGTTAAAGAACTGCAGCCTCTTTTATTTTTTTTTGTTAGAATAATAACTCATTGAGCCTTCAAGACAAAATAGTGAAGAGAAGAGGGTTCAAGAAGCAGGTAAGTGTTTCAATTGCTGCTTTACTCAATGATGACAGTTTCTTTTTGTTAAGGGGGCAGAGGGAGTAAGCTTTCATTAGTAATTCTCTTTACTCTCTGTCATCCAATTCTTAGGGTGTTAATCTAGAGAAATTGATATTGGATCGACTAGTAATCCTTCAATTGGCATTGTTGTTTATTCTCCTCACTTTTCTGGTTGATGTTGAATAATATTGTGAAGAGAAATTCTATCTTGGTCATTATGGGAGTTACAATGTTAAGTATCTAGTCTAAATCTCTCATATTTTTGTGAGATTTTTAAAGAAACACAAGGAATAATTTTTTCATCCTCCAAAGAGTGCTGACAAAATAGATGAAGAGACAATGTACTTTTCAACAGAATAAGTTGAATCACTTTTAAGTACTGGGTTGCTGGTACATATGCTTGTTACCAGTGTTTCATCAGTGCAAATGAGTGAATGAAAGACTTGCATTCCATTTGATTTACCAGTGCCAACAGTTAGCCTGCAATCAGACATTTTACTTCATTCAATAACATATTCATGATCATACAGAAAATTCATATTACTATCATGGTACTATAATTATGCACTTTCGAATGTCCATTTATTATTAAATCTAAACTTGATCCTTTTTTCAAACATTTTATTCAAATTAAAACAGGTTTGTAATAATTAATAAAATATACATGTATTCCATGTATTTACAGATTTATTATCATTATGAGTAATTACAGATGCAAATCATTGAAAACCTAATAACAAAAGTCACCTTTTTTCAACTTGATTGACCCTCAAACTATGTGATGACATGCATGTTGAGAATAACACTGAAAATAATTTGTAATTTGCCTGAAAATTACTACAGTAACAACTTAGGAAAATTTTTCAGGGAAGTCAGAGAAGGAGAACATCCAGAGTCAAACTATATTCGGGAAAGAAGATGGCATCAAAAATAAGAGTGAAGGGAAACAAAAAAAGGAGATGGAAGGGAATAACATAGGTGAGCAACATTTCTGTGATGCATATGTAGTTTAACTTTAGACTGATTTTTAGGTTGGGTTAATTTTATTGGAGCAAAGCAAAATTTCAGTATGTATTTTGTACATGTACTTTAAAGTTAATGTTAAAATATGGTTAGTTTAGATTTGTAGGGCTAATTGATGAGGTACCAGCATGAGTTAATGGAACCGAGACAAGATCTAGATTCAAACTGATTCAATCTGAAATTCATTTCAAATTGTATAATGCAGCTACAGTGTAGTTGTTTCAATTGTTTTATGTGACTGAAGCTTCTTGCCAATCTACCGTTTCAGCAACTAGCTCATTTTTTTCATCTTTTCCATATTTTGGGTTGCTTGTTAAATACACTTTTGCTGTTGGAAAATACTAATTTTAGCTTATTTTAAACCAGTTTAACAAACCTGCTCAGTTGTGCAACTATGTACATGCATGTACAACTTGTAAACTCCCAAGGGAAACAAAATATACAATTGAACAGGGGTTCAAGTTAGCTGGTAGTAAATGACTGAATAAGTGGGGCCAAGGGAAATCGGATCTTGAGCAAGTTATCAGGAAGTTTGACTTAACAGAGTTTAAGTTAAGGGGATTCTACTGCTATTTTGTAACTTACTGTTGTTGTTTATCAAAGTAACTTAAGCCTTTAACCCCTGAGGGTGACTGGCTTTTAATTTCTCCTTGCAACATCACCCTTGGATCAAATGTAAAGGTCATGAGATTATAGGAAATGATCACCAATTTACAAATCTCCCAAATATCAAACAATTTTTTTCTTGTCAGTGCCATAGTTATTGTAAAGGGAAAGTGTGGAGAATATGAATATTAATATCAGGGTGTAAAGGGTTAATACTTCAGTCATGGTATTGATTTACATGTGCTACACTCTACAGCTGTGGCATTGCTGATCAGAGAAATGGGAGATTTATCATTTTTTGTAGACAATCCATACAACATTCATATGATGAAGACAGCAGTTCAGAAGATAAAGAAACTATTAATAAGATATGTAGACCAAGGAGCTAATTGAGATGTTGTCATTTTTCTTTGATACACTGATAACCACAAGTAACTTTTAAGGCATTTTCTGAATGTTTTTAGTTTGAAAGATCATATCATACTAGACATAGAAAAAAATTGGTGAAGCTTACAAAGCATTGGTGCCTCACCCAAAATTGTCAAGGGATCATCTTTCAGACTCTTGGTTGTAGCAGATACATGTAGACTTACTTTGGTGAATACATTGGTGTTGTTTTTTGACAAAAATCTTTCTTTAGTGAGATGTTTTATTTGGTAAACCCAATTTGTTTGCTTATAGCCTGCAGTGCAGGCGTCTCACTAGTGTGGGCCAATGTTATAAGCTAGCAATTGTTTATCTGACCAGCCATTTGAGTGGATGGTGGGGGTAGGGGGCAGGGCAAGTGCATAAACCTCATTCACCCACCCCCACTTCTCTCCTTATTTTGACTGTTGATCACCCCCTTGGTACAAATTTATTTCTCTCCCCAGCCTTCTGCTGCAATTAAAATCAAAGATGGCGGCAATAATTTCCGTTAAGAAATTACTGAGTACTCACTTGCCGAAATTATGCCTGCTCTGCAGGCTAGTTTGCATAGGAATACTTATTCTTGTTACACAGCAAGACCAAGGAATTTTGGAGTATGGTACCTGCAGAGGTGAAATGTCTCATTTGGACTGTCATAGAGATCCTGTGTACTTGTTCATTACAGAAGGGTAGGTTTGAATTGATGGAGAGGTCTGAAAGTTTATCTTCTGACTTATTTTCAGGTTACTGAGAAGAAAAATAAGTTTTTTGAAGAACCTCCTCTTTAGCTGAACATCAAACTTTTGCAACAATGAACTTGTCAAGACCTTTATTAAAGGTAATATATGAACATCTTTGCATGCTGTCTTTAAGAAAAAGACTGCATGTGACTTCTATTATATCTGTCAAGTACATAGCTTCAAATTGC